TTCTGTCAGGTGTCCTTATCCCATTATGTCACACACTAATGTGTCTGTCATAATTTGACGTGTATTTTGACACAATTGTGTTGCACTCTATTGTGTCAAACCAATTCTGTCCAACGATGCGTGATTAAACTTCCTCATTAACATAGTATTTCATCATATATTATTGATTCTACATTATTTTTGTGACCATTTGTCCTCAACACTGTTATCCTTACTTCCAAGAAGCAAATTAAATGTGGATTAGATAGTCACAATGTCTCCCAATTGGAGATTAGACATTTTACAGACCTTCAAAACCTAAAGTCTCGAATCTTTACCCATCTTTTGGCTATCCTTAAACCAACTTGATTATCCTGTGTATTATGTCTTTATCTGGGGGGCAGTGGGGTAGCCTAGTGGTTAAAGCATTGGCTTGTCCTGCCGAAGACCTGAGTTCTACTCCCTGCATGGGTACAATGTGTGAAACCCATTTCTGTTGCTCCCCACCATGATATTGCTGGAATATTGCTAAAGGCATCGTAAAACTAAACTAACTCACTCACTCACTGTAGTTCACTTACTTGATTCTTTCTTGGTTTTCAGTTGTGAAGTGATATGCATAAATTCTCTGTAAGCCGTTTAGTGCCAAACCCTACCGAAGGTAGTTTGGATCAAACCAATAACAAAACATAATAGGGAGTAGATATAATACATCATATAATTGTGTGATGTTGGTGCTCCACTGTCCAGATCTATACATTACTCTATATTCAGGTTTCCCTAGTCTTTTTCCTTTTGAGTTTATTGCTTTGAATCGTGCATAATACGAGGAGGGGTTGAGAGGACTCACAGGTGTATAGCTCATGTTTTACTGTGAACACTGCTTGAGGGATTAAGTCTCATCTGTTGATGAGTTGATGGTGGGTAGTTTTGTGTCCAAGTTCGAGTCCTTGCATGAGGGATCATTGGGTGCTGCTTGCTTTGTGGCATGGAGATTGCGCTAAACTGGAGTGTTACATGTGACAGAACCTTCTTCTTCAGTAATCCGGGCTATCAGATTCTCTAATTTGTCTTGAAATATTTGTTAATTTCCTGTAAACACACATGCCGTTTAGAAAGTGGTCAAATGTAGCACGTGGTATATTTGGGATTGCTCATGTTGGCGTTCAGTGAAAGAGCGATGGCTGAGTGGGTTAGACAGCTGTCTTTGTGTGCTGGCGATTAGATGCATGGTTCTGAGGGTGTGGGTTCGAATCCCAGGTGGGACTGAACCCAACAAAAGTACTAGAATCTGTACTTTACTGAGAAAGTGTGACCCCAAATTTAACGTGTTACAATTTCCTGTGATTTATAACTGTCTGATGGGAAATATACACAAATACATTGTCACTGTAACTGACTCCTGAAATGCCTCATCAAATGTTGTATTCTTGGTTTAATGTTTTGCCTTGGCTACTCTATACACCAGCTCACATAATATTACATGATGTTACTTTACCGTCTACATTTCACGTTGGTAAATGTAAGGGAAGTAACTCTTTGTGACTTTTTGGTCAAACTGTTCATTTCCTTCTGTCTTTAAAGCTCTCAAAGCTGATGGCTTGAGACCTCTTCCATTTAAAACTTTGTCATTGTTGCATAACATGTGATTCATCAGCTGTTTTTGCCAGAACGATTTTGATTGGCTTTTGTAATTGTTTATTCTGTTAGAGATATATTGTAGAAGTTAGCAAGCTTGTTGTGTTGGAGATTTATATATTGAGATATATTGTAGAATGTAGTGAGCTTGTTGTGTACAGATGAGATTCATTAAGTCCAACATCAGGGATTATGAACTACTGGAATTTATTATTATATGTAGTAATAGTACTACTGCTGCTACAACTACAACTTCTACTACTACTACTACTACTACTACTACTACTACTACTACTGTTGCTACTGTTGCTACTACTACAACTACTACTAGGGCTGGCTATCTATAGAGATCGATAATTGTTAACAAAATATCAGTCGATTATCATTAAATATTGGCAAGGTAACTTTGAGCAAAATTGCCAAAACTGTCTAACAAAAATGAATATATTTCACATCACTGGTGATCTTGGACATGTTCTTGTATTGATTATTAACAAACAGCGTCCTGAACATAATTTAGAAGCAGTCCATGAATAAAATTAATGTAGGATATTAACACAATTTGCATATTAATTATCATTAAGATAATTTCATATGAGCGATATTTCTGACTATCGATCATTTTAGCCAGCCCTTATTACTACTACTACTACTACTACTACTAATAAAAATAAAAATAAAAATAATTCCACCTGTAGAGACTTGGATTTGAAATATGTCAAACTGTATTATGAATTGTTGACATTTCCATTACTGTTTGAAGTGTGTAAGGAAAGTGTTCAATCTTAATTTAATATCTGTTTGGAAATTGCAATGGTTCACAGTGTTAGGAAAGTAGTATGGTTGTCGTTGTTAGGAAAGTAGTAGTATGGTTGACAGTTTTAGGAAAGTAGTAGTATGGTTGACAGTATTAGGAAAGTAAACTATGTAGACATAAATTAGACCTTTTTCAATAGTATGTCTGTGAGATGGGTTTTTATTACTTTTGACTGGAGTCTTTCTCTAACCTATTACTGATTATGATGAAACTAATATTCTATATTTATATTTTCCTAATATCGGAATAATAATATATTGCTAGTAGTAGTAATAATTAATAATGAATTTTTGTATGAATTATTACTCCATGATAGGAAAGTAGCATGGTACAGAGTGTTAGGAAAGTAGTATGGTTGACAGTGTTAGGAAAGTACTATGGTAGACAGTGTTAGGAAAGAAGTATGGTTGACAGTGTTAGGAAAGTACTATGGTAGACAGTGTTAGGAAAGAAGTATGGTTGACAATGTTAGGAAAGTAGTATGGTTGACAATGTTAGTTAGGAAAGTAGTATGGTAGACATTTTTAGAAAAGTAGTCCCTGATGTTGCACAGTGATGAATCCAGTGAAGGCCTCCAGCAGGTTGGGTGACATTCCATGGATTTGACCAAGTGATAAAATTTGAATACTCTTGAGTTTGTTGATTGTGTTATTTTTCCTAAGATCTGTTAACATGTTTGGTGAAACGTACAAACACAGGTGACCCATGAAGATCCGAATTAGAATTTATTTTTAGCAACCCATGCTTGTCGTGAGAGGCGACTAACGGGATCGAGTGGTCAGGCTCGCTGACTTGGTTAACACGTCCCAATTGCGTATATCGATGATCATGCTGTTGATCACTGGATTGTCTGGTCCAGACATGATTATGTAGCCGGGACACTGCTGAACGCAGCGTTAAACAACAGACAAACATTTATATTATGCTGATAAAAACAGAGAGAAAAATCAGGAGTCGATCTCAGCACAGCGACACCTTAGACAGCTTGGTGAGCCGCCCACCCCTAAATAAAACAGACGCTATTGACGTTGATTATGTTTATAATTCAAGACACTGACATATAGGTTTGACACAGGGAATCATCACAAGCAATAAATATATATAAATATATTACATGAATAATGGTATTCACAGGAGAATCAAAGCTGAATGGAGCTGCGACCATACCTGGTCCACTATAGTACATTCTACACTAAAGGATGGCGGCATGACACCCCGGTAGGAATTCCAGGTTAGAATACTTCCCAGAATGCTGGCGATCAACAAAGAGTTCGTAACGTTACGACCTGTTGTAACTATATAGTTAATCAAAGGCTAACGAATGTCGTAGCGCTACGAACGCTTTGTGGATCGGGACCTTTGTCCTTAGTGGCGACGTCATCGGTGACTTGGCAGATGGCGTGGCGTGCTGTGCCGGACAGTGTGGCAATGTTACTAAACATCCCTGGCAAGCCTGGTTCAGACTCGGTTATCTAAGGAACGCTGGAAATATTGTGCGATGTGAGGACAGACATTGCATTCATGTCTTTGGTGCGAGTTGGCACAGTGGATGACGTGTTTGTTTACCCGAGTGTCGAGTGATATTTTCAAATTTATTGTCATGCGATTGCTGTGATGATGCAGGAAGTGACGAGGAAACCTTCCCCATACAATGATTACTGAGGAAATATACGTGAAGCTATATCATATTTCTTACACAAACTGTCATTTACTGAAGATCACCAAAATGAAAAGACTTAGTATATTCCACAGTTGTAAGTGCCCAGCGCAGTGGGTGAGTGGATGGTGATTATCCCACCCCGATGGTCTGTTCGATGCTCATGCTAGCAATACCCAGAGAATATATCAAGTTCAGACGCATTCACAAGCTGGTGATATGTCCAATGGCCCAAAAACATTTTACGTCTATGTACTGTGCTGTAAGGTACGTTTCAAACAGTCCTGTTGAACTGATTCCTGTTACAATAGTTCTCCAGCATTGATGGTCAGTCTGATCGGTCATCGTGTCCTGGGTCCTGATGGTCAGTCTGATCGGTCATCGTGTCCTGGGTCCTGATGGTCAGTCTGATCGGTCATCGTGTCCTGGGTCCTGATGGTCAGTCTGATCGGTCATCGTGTCCTGGGTCCTGATGGTCAGTCTGATCGGTCATCGTGTCCTGGGTCCTGATGGTCAGTCTGATCGGTCATCGTGTCCTGGGTCCTGATGGTCAGTCTGATCGGTCATCGTGTCCTGGGTCCTGATGGTCAGTCTGATAGGTCATCGTGTCCTGGGTCCTGACTCTGATCGGTGTTTCAGTCTGGGTCCAGACTTTGTTTGCTGGCTTTTCTACCACATATGGCTGACAAGTCATCGTGTAACTTAAATAATGTTTAAGCCACTTTCAATTGTTTTAAAATAAGAAATTAGCGTTCGCTACCGCTCCACAGAGGTTACGTTAGAACGACCTCTCATCTGGCCAATCAGAGCGTCGTTAATAGGCAGCGGAAGTGAAAGTCCGATTGTGATTTTTGGTCATGTAACCTCGGAAAGGCCACCGCAAAGCATTCCGAACCTGTGCCTTGTAAATATTCCAACATTTTCTTTGGTTCTGTTTTCATATTATCGATATTTTCAAAGGGTAGTCAGCTTGAAATAACCCATGACAAAGCTGCTTTCTGATTGGCTAATTGTCGACTTCCTCCTAGTCATGTCATTGGTCAAAGTCCATACAACATTGTTCTGAGGCGACAGATCTTAATGTAGCGTCAGCCAGGACAAACCTCTGATTTTAAGGCGCTCGAAACGGCGTTAAACCAAACTCACTTCTGTTGAATACATTTACAATACATGTCATGTCTCGTTATATCAGATACAAATAAATACATAAAACCCTACATAACTAGCCTCTCTATGCCTCTGTGATGACGATCTCGCCCGACGCTACTGAAATTGTTTTGACGTTTCTCAATGCACTAATGCCATTAATCCTACAATCTAGGATCAGAATCACTCTCCCAGAATGAACGCACCTATTAACACAGCACAGAAATTCGCGTTCACAATACAGTGCATTGACCTGTTTTCTGGTGGTGTTTAACACCAGTACACACTATATACAAATATACTTAGCAAGACAAAATGTCAATATCACTGGCTTGGCTATGGGAGATTTGTGCTGAAACTGGCACTATGGTCGTCCTTCCATGGAACAGATTTCTTGGCAACCAAGTCCTGACTTGTAAATCCACTTTCGTAACCGGTACCGGTTTGAGTTTCTGATTTACCCGACGCCATAACGTCAAAAACCCAGTTGAAGACTAATGAACATGGGTTAAAATGTGTTCACAGACGGTTATTCAGTCAAGTCCCGTTCGCAAGTGTTTGACCGTGAACGTATATAGAGTTGTACATGTGACGGTGGCAATCTAGGACGTTAGACTGGTCTCCTGTCCTCCTTCCTCGCTGGCTACACAGGGGCAGAAGACCAGTCAATCTTTGACGCAAAATCGGGTATTTATAAAATCGGATTCCTGTACAGTGGAATTCGTTAATACAAGGCTGTGTTCTCATCAAGAACGTCCTGAAATGATGGACGAAACACAACACACAGAATGAAGTCAATGGTTATGTTCTTTAGCGCATATCAGTGGGCTGGGCATGTGCCCGGCATCTGTGGACATTGGCACAGTCTGGACTGTACAAGTAACAACATGGTATACTGATGAACCTGTATCCATCACAAGCTGATGCTGTAGCTAATCAGCGCCGTCCTCATGATAGAGCCTGGTCAAGTAATTTCTGAAACGAAAGACAGCTTATTATAATGAATACTCCCATAACAGTATTGTCCCCTGAGAGGGTACGTAAGTCCCAAAGCATTCAATGTAAATTTAAATCTACTGTTATTTTAATCGTAGAATATATGTTCTTTTAATTTGTGGCTTGAATATCCAAAATTGCTAATAGCTGAGGGATGGTGTAACTCCAGCTAGGGTCCATGCAGGAAGCAAAAGTACTGTAAGTCCCCATGGTCCCTAGTATGGTGATCTACCTTCAGTTGTTGGCAATCTATAGCCCGGTTTTATATTGTATTGTCAACTATAGTTAAACTGTTTTAGATTTAATTACTAGTTTTAAATTATTCTCTGTGATAATCTAGTTATTTTACTGTCCTTCGTAGGCAGGCTTTTATAATTTACTTTTACTTACTATGTGTACCAATTAATTGTTCTCGTCACGATATAGCTGAAATATTGCCGATGTGACGATAAATTTTAACTCACTCACTCACTCCATAACAGTATAATAACGATTCATTAATATTTGCATATCACGAAATGTGAAAAATGTTCCATGCAATATGACTTTTTCTACTGATCTTAGGGAGGATGGTTTTAATCCGGCATCAACAATGATCACAACAGCACGCCAGGGGCAATGCTTTGAATCGAATACGGGCCTTCGGCTTGACGAGCGAACGCTTTGACCACAAGGTTAATAGGCTATCTCACTACCCTAGCTGACCCGTGAAGATCCGGGTTAGAATTGGTCTTCAGCAACCCATGCTTGTCGTAAGAGGTGACTAACCGGATAGGGTAGTCAGACTCGCTGACTTGGTTGACACATGTCATCGTATCCCAGTTGCATAGATTGATACTCATGCTGTTGATTGTCTGGTCCAGACTTGATTAATTACAGCCCCCACCATATAGCTCGAATATTGCTGAGTGCGGCGTAAAACAACAAACCAAACCTTCTAGCACCATATGGTGCTATAAAACAAAGATACCTCTGTCAATCTGAGATTCGAACAAACCATCAAAGCCTTTTCGATTCGTGGTACCTAGATGACTGCGCCATTCGTGTCGATGGAACCGACGGAGGGCAAATACCTTTCCAATAACCTTTTTTCAAACTCACCATTTGATCCGGAAGTAGATCCATCGTTTTGCCATTCGCCAAAGCTGGTAGATGTAGCTTGCTCCTCTCGACCCACCCTTTCAGCCTCCCTTCCATCTTTGAAATCACCTGCTCCGTGGCACTGGCTGCCGGAAGTGACACCGTGGTGTCAAGGCGCATGTGCAGCCGCTTCAGAATGAGAGTCCATTCATCCTCTTGACAGTCGGTTGGTTCGACAGTGTGTTCCTGCTGTAGTCGACGTTTTCCTTTGAAAGCATTTCTGCTTTTCGTTTCCTTTAGCGTCTTCAGGAGTCGCTGATCTTCAAGTTTCATATTTAGGAATTTGAGGAAGGCACAGTTCCCGGATGTTGTTTGGTGAATGTAGAGGCACAGACGTGTTGCCAAGTCTTCCTTCAGCTTTACGACAGACTGGGTGGCGTACTTCCGCTTGAACATCCGGTCGTACTGACCTCTGCGCAGAACGAGCAGGTCGCAGGCAGCCGTTGTCGTGGCGGTTTCAATGTAACTCTCTAGACCAAGAACCATCTCCAGAGCACCTGGAAAATGCATGTGTGTGTGCTTTACATTTGTTGATAGGTACGATGTTAACAGCAAAATGTGGTGAACTGTTTTCAGAACTATATTCGAGATATATTGAGTCTGGTCAGAGAACAGTGGTTGACAGCGTGAGCACCGTACCAAGCCGTTGAGGGTCACACTGTCACCAAGGTCACATTTGTCATACGTAGAGTCAGTATTTCCATGGGGACCTATTCCACAAAGGTAGTTGGGCAAGATGTACTGGGGCAATGTTCCCCCCGAGAGACGGGCAAGGTGTACTGGGGCAATGTTCCCCCGAGAGACGGGCAAGATGTACGGGCAAGATGTAGAGACGGGCAAGGTGTACTGGGGTAAAATGTTCCCCGAGAGACGGGCAAGGTGTACTGGGGTAAAATGTTCCCCCCGAGAGACGGGCAAGATGTACTGGGGTAAAATGTTCCCCCGAGAGACGGGCAAGGTGTACTGGGGTAAAATGTTCCCCCGAGGAGACGGGCAAGGTGTACTGGGGTAAAATGTTCCCCCCCGAGAGACTGGCAAGATGTACTGGGGTAAAATATTCCCCCCGAGAGACGGGCAAGATGTACTAGGGTAAACTGTTCCCCCCGAGAGACGGGCAAGGTGTACTGGGGTAAAATGTTCACCCCGAGAGACGGGCAAGATGTACTGGGGTAAAATGTTCCCCGAGAGACGGGCAAGATGTACTGGGGTAAACTGTTCCCCCCGAGAGACGGGCAAGGTGTACTGGGGTAAAATGTTCCCCCGAGAGACGGGCAAGATGTACTGGGGTAAAATGTTCCCCCCGAGAGACGGGCAAGATGTACTGGGGTAAAATGTTCCCCCCGAGAGACGGGCAAGATGTACTGGGGTAAAATGTTCCCCTAGAGAGACGGGCAAGATGTACTGGATGCCTGTTCCCCCGAGAGAGACAGGCAAGATGTACTGGAGGCCTGTTCTGCGGGAGACCCCGCGAGAGGTGCATCCTATCCTGACAGACATGGGTAACTGAGGACGATGACAGTGCTGAGCTGGAAGGATTCTGTGAACCTACCTAGATGCTCATTCTCCCCCAGGAGGCAGATCTGATGGGCCTTGTGTTCGTTCTTCCTCTTGCGTAACATTTCGTGAGGGGACACCGACACATTCTTCTTGCTGAAAACGATCAATATAATAATGACGACATTTAATCTCTAGATAATATAAGGTCTTTGGCGATGACGATTTGGGGTTATGCGACTTATTGAATTTTGAGTTTTGAATGCATCTCTTGTCAAATTGCTCAAATGTGTTTATATGTTTTGTTTTAACGTGACACGTGTCGTGGACGTTTAGAATAATATATATTTTTTTAAAACGCATCGGATTCCAGAGACTTTTTTCCCTCACAGACACTTCTTACAAGAAAGTGTTTCATTAATATACAGATTTTTATATATCCACTAAGTGCACTTCTCAGATGTGCATGGGTTGGGTCTATTTTCAAAAGCAGCTCCCAAGCTGTGGACCGTTTATGTTAGTTTAGGAAAGTGAGTACTAATCACTCCTGTTTGTACTTTTAGAACTATATCGACCTGATATCAATGTGCTCGGAATTTCCAACGTGGAAACGAAGTCTAAAAATAACCAAGGTTACCTCCCCTTAGTTGGCCTCTGACAGCTGTCAAGGTCAACGGCAGACATTATATTTATTATAATTGATAGATGCATGGAGGGTGGTTTCAGGTTCTTGTCAGGGGATTTGTTATCTCATCGCCTGAATTTAGAAAGATATCGATTTTACATGTTCCAATAACTGAAATTGCTCATTACAAAATACGATAGAAATATTTATATTTTGCACGGATCATTTGTAATTCTATATCAATGATACTATTTCTGAGAGTCACACATATATTTTATTTTGTTTATTAATCTTAATAGGTTATATATAACTATGTGTGGGTAAATTATGCATATGTTATATACAACCTTATCTGTAAACCGTAAGATGTAGATATAACACTAATGTGGGTCAGTCATGTGTTCTTCACAAGTAAGTCTACGGAATTCAGGCAACTGGATTCAGCCAACAACACGTCATTGATGATTTGATGGGTGAGTGAGTGAGTTCGGTTTAACGCCGCTTTGAAACGTGGTTATCTCACATGACACCTTGATTTGGGAGTAAAGCCCGAAGCCTTTCAGATCTTGGACGTTCACAACACACGAACATGACGTGGTGCTTTCAAACCATGAAGCAAAACCAAGGCAAATCAGGGCTTCGAACAGCGATCAAAGGGAAGCAACTCTGCACAACAGACAGTGACGACTTCCACTGGGCCAACATACCGTATCTTTGCCGATTGTGAGGTTGTTCGACAAGAGGTGTCATTGTTTGTCTAATTAACAACGTGTGCAGCAAGCACATTAGCTATTCTCAGCGATATTGGTATCCCTTGGTGTTCGTGGTGTTCGTACTCCCCGGGGTAATCAGCAACGCCCGTGGGAGGGGAGAATTGGTTTAATTGTGTTTACAAACCAAACATAGCCCGGACCCTACTGAATGAATCATTTCAAGGTCAAGTCCTACCGCTTTCCCATGCAGTTCAAATTGCTTTGTTGAGATGGAAGTCGATAAGAAGGTATCGAGATATGATCAGGATCGATCATGTGCGACGACATCGAACAGTCGTCCTAAGTTGAGCCTGCCAAGACCTAAAGGCAAGCTTCGAGATACCCGAGATTCAACAGAACGTTGTTGTTGAATTTAACATGCATAGGCGGATCCAGAGGGGGTGGGGGTGGGGGGTGTTTGCAGGTGCCTTTTTGTACTGAAAGTTTCTTAAATCACCATTGAAACTCGGGTGAAAATGAAGTGTGCACCTCCCTTTTCTCAATAGTGTACCACCACCCCCACCCCACCCCCACCCCTTTCTCAAAAAGCTATATCCGCCCCTGACATGAGATGGGAGGATATTGGTGGGGCTTTGGTGGAATTAGAGTAGGGTAGGGTAGGGTGTGGATGTGGGTTTGGTGTGGGTGTGGATGCCTGTGAGGGTGTGGTTTTGGTGTGAGATTTGGGTCTTAATGTGGGTTTTTCCTGTGGGTGTCGGTGAAAGTGCCTGTTTGGGTGTGGGTGTGGTTTGGGTAGTGTTTAGGTTGGGATGAGAGTGGTGCTTGGGTAGAGTTAAGGATGGGTAAGGTTTGGGTGGAATTTGGGTTAGTTCAGGGTTGGAGATTAGGTTTTGGAAGAATTAGTGCAGTGGGATTAAGGCATTGGTGGAGTTTAGGAAGGGCTTGTATGGGTGGGATTAATTAAACATATGATTGCGTGGGTTGGCTGTGAAGTTTGGTTAGGGGTCGGGGGCAACTGTTGGAGTGGTAGGTTAGGTTTTGTTTCAGATAACGATGCCGGAACGCCAGGGCATTATGTTTACCGGATGTTCGTGATCAAGGTCCTCTAATCACGTGCTTGTCTGACAGGTGTGTAGATGAGAGATTTTATCTGGATTTAGATTAACGATGGGGCTTGGATACCAACTGTTCGTGATCGACTAATTAAACGTATGTCTGTTGCCACAGGTAAACTTGTAGATGTTTGATCTGGATCTTGATTATCACGACAACGACGGCATCAACTGAACTCGTTGTCGTTAAGAGACCCGGACAGTGTGTTCTCCTGAGGGAGCTGAGAATGATAACGTATACACACCGATCTGCCACCACTACTTCTACAGTCACCACTTCTACCATGACTACTTTCTACTTCCACTACTACTACTATACTGCTGCTGCTACTGCTGCTACTGCTGCTACTACTACTACTTCTGCTATTGCTGCTGCTACTACTATTGGGGCCTAGTGGTGAAAGCGTTCGCTCGTCACGCCGAGGACCCGAGTTCGATTCCCCACTTTGGTACAATGGTGTACCAATGATATTGCTGGAATATTGCTAAAAGCTGCGTGAAACTCACTCACACACTCACCACCACCACCACCACCACTACTATTACTGCTGCTACTACTACTACTACTACTACTACTACTACTACGAGTGGAAAGACTGTACCACATGGGCTTGCTAAATACCATGTTTGACACGGTTCACTTCATCTACCTTCTTTCAACATTCGACATATTCCGTAATATTCGTTATCAATCGTTCCTTTCCGTAACAGGTAAAACATGATCCATAAAATGCGAGTTGGTCACGGAATATTCTCAGCTTTTTTAACTCAACAGAAAGATGATACAAACTAGGGCGGAGGACGAGGGTTCGCGTTTAAACAATAACAACAGAAAGTTCCCGAATAATACCCTTTCTTCGGGGTTCACGAAAACAGATCAGCTGTTTGAAAGAGATTCTGCAATAACCGAACATATATACGCAAAGTGCCGGCCAAAACATTTTACACTTGAACATTTCTTAAGGAAACATTACAAATGTTTTGAAAACGTTGATGGTCTTCAAACAGTCGCCGAAAGCTCAGGTCCTGAACACAACTATGTCACCCGAATAAAATACATCACAATTGAAGAACCATTTCCTGCATTGGCGGATCGAGAGGGCTTCTCTCTCTCTCTCTCTCTGAAAATGACTTAAGACCACATTGAATGTTTTGCATTGGCGGAGCCGAGGAGGGGTTCAGCGGGTTCGAACACTCCACCCCACCCCACCCCTTTTAAAATTCCTGGATCCGCCTCTGTCCTGTGTGCATATTTTTCAGCCTTCATCAAACCCTAGTAACCCATGTTTGTCGTAAGAGGCGACTAATGGGATGTCATACTCGCTGAGTTGGTTTTAACAGAAAATTGACAGATGGGCCAATATGTAGTCATTTAGATGACGGTATCATCGTTAGACCGCCGCCATTAGCCGGAATATTGGGGCGTGCGGCGTTAAACAACAAACTAACAAGTTCATAATAAATTCAACAACATTATTTTTAAAAAAAGCAGAAGAAAACATAAAATGCAGCAGCGTTTCCGAGTAACAAATACTAATTTGCTTGCCTTAAACGTATATTCATATTACATGTATTTTCAATCAAAGCCATGGTTACAATAACGCTTATTGGTAACCTAAACCAGAGGAACCCTGTGTGGAGCAAGGCTGTGACGTGGAGTATGTAATGTACACCGTGATTAATCAAATGTTGATGCAATAAACGTACATAAAAGTCGTAACTCAAATTTTATGCAGAACATGTTCAAGGTCGTGTGCTTTGAATCGCCAAGTACGTATGGTACAATATAACGAACCTATTAAGTGTCGTTGTAAACCCTTCTGTTCTGACCTTCTTGAATACCGTGTTAATGTATAACGGTGGCAGTGTTACACGTGTTGTGGAAGAGGCTCCCCCTGGAGCTGTTTTATTGCAATTCATATAAAGACAGCCTTGTCTATTAACGTCATTGTGTAATCTGAGACCCGTACGGGATATGAGAACCCACATACATAACCCCTTACTCACATCGAGGACCATGAGGATCAAACCATATATCGTTATTCAATAACTACTTATCGATATCGATGATAAAGAATTATTTCACATGTTAGGGTATTCGTTGTAGAAACGTATTTTGTGAACGTAAGATGGTGCGATGTAGAATTTTACGCCTCTTTTAACATGATGTCAGTGTAATCCTGATGACCAGTTGAGAGACTGGATTATATTTGACAGCATTGCTGTTTCAGTCGAAGTCAGAAGGTTTCCTGTTGGTCCAAGTCGGCCTGCAAATTTGTCACTTTGTCAGACGCCAGGCTGTGGGGTACCCTCGAGGTTAAAGTGGTCGCTCGTCACGCCAAAGACACGGGTTCGATTCCCCGGGGTCTTCGGTGTAACGCTTTAACCATTAGGACACACACACACACACACACACACACACACACACACACACACACACACACACACACACACACACACACACACACACACACACACGCACACACACACACACAGAGACCCGTGAAGCACACACTATCTTGTCGTAAGAGGCGACTAACGGGATCGCGCAGTTTCGCTGACTTGGTTGACAAATGTCATCGGTTCCCAATTGCGCAGATCGATGCTCATGCTGTTGATCACTGGATTGTCTGGTCCAGACTCGATTATTTACAGACCGCCGCCATATAGCTGGAATATTGCTGAGTGCGGCGTAAACACACTATA